CCCCAAAACCCCAAAACCCCAAAACCCCAAAACCCCATATTATTTAAATAAAATTGAACAAATCCTAATTTATACTGCATCGTCAATGGATTCGATGTTAATCATTTCTTCACTTTGCATCATTTTGATCAGTCCGTGGTTGTTATACTCTATGAATTCATTTTCAGAATCACTTGTGTTATCAGATTTACTGAGACTGACCTTTTGGCAAACTAAAGTCCCATATCTAGAGAGGATTGAGTGATAAAATTGCTCCTCATCTTCCATTAGACTTCTTAGGTTGTCAAAAATACTAGAGGGGGTTGCAGGGTTGACCTCAGTTTTCTCATGCCAATTTCTTTTGGTCCCAAGGTCCCAAGGATTTGTCTTCTTCTTATAACTCCCTCTTAATTTTTCATTCGTAGTGACGTTAGTAATGGATAGATGGACATGAAACATTCCGAAAAAGAACATCAGAGTCATAATCACTAAGGAGTACCCCATTAATATAACTGAAGTGAATTTATACATATTTGTAATAGGCTTGTTATACTTGAGCCATAAGGGATAGATCCCCAAAAGTGCTGCAAAAACACCATGACTAAATGTAGCAAACAAAAATCTGATAAACTTTATATGATTTCTCCTTCCTATTCATGTACCTGTGAATGGGCAATGATGATCATGCACTTCAATTCATGTTCCACATTTCTTTCAATGGAAACTTCTGGGAGGCCTGAGAATATGACAAGTCTTGCATATTTTCAATTTGATTAAACTTCCTTCTGGATTTCTTGGTTCAATGTAATAATTATAATTTCTGTTAACCTTCAAAGTTGCTCTTGGAATTATTCCAGAATCTGTTGTTCCAACATCAACAAGAGTCAGAAGATCAACCAGCATGGATGCAATAAATACTACTTCAACTGCAAATCATTTATAGAATCCTTCATAGAGAGGAAGCTGGTAGAACACAAACCAAACTGAAGGAATAAGGATCATCAAAAAAGAAAGGCCAAGGATTTTTATATCTGCTCCTATTAACCTATTCTTGCCTCATCCTGGAGTAAAATTTCCAATCCTTTTTGAGCTAGTGAGGTATTTCAAAGAATTTTTTTCGTCCATTTTTAAATATTTAACCTATCCTGATAACTTATTGTGGGGTTTTGGGGTTTTGGGGTTTTGGGGTTTTGGGG